ATAATCAAAAAATGAAATCATCCAAAAATAATGCATAATATTTATGACTGGCAGAACTTAAAATCGGAGACGTCCATAAATCACTATGTAAAATATCAAAAGACATCAAATTAATAGTTTGAGATTTAAAAAATGGCAATTTAACATGTTTTCCTAAAACACAAGAGTCACAAATAGCAAAAGAATTAAAAGGTTTACAACATATGAACTTATTATCGCGAAAGGAGTACAAAAAAAAAATGTTAGGGTGACCATGGAGACTGTGCCAAAAACTGTAAGTAAAACCGGAAAAATTGGTGGAAGTGGTGACTAGATAGAGATCGTCACAACTGTCACATATCATGAGAATGATCTTCATCTGAAAATCAGATATAGTAAAGACAAAAGGGTCAAAGAAAATAGATACATTATTGTTAGTGGTGAGTCATCACACATAAATTAAAGTTTTAATAATTTACAAGGCATGCAAGATATGGTTTAAGTGAAGGAGTTAGTGAAAGGTGGATATTTGTGTGTGTCTGGTGCCATGAATTGGAATTTCATGGCCACTGCCAACATTAACTTTCTGATTTGAATTACTTAAAGTAGAATATTACGAGAGATTACCTTGTGAAGTTGGTGTGTGAGATGTTGCACCAGTATCCATGTACCATTGATTGTCAGGGTGTGGAGAGACATGGTGTTCATAATGGTATTGATCCGCTTTTGCACACAGGTCAAAAATGAGTTTAAGACAAAACGCAGTAAAATGGAAGCGGCACACGAATATCGTATCTCAAGGACTCTTGAATCACAATTAACCTAATAAAATTGATTTGGGGGGAGGGTTGTTTAGGTTTAAGTTTCAATCAAAATAACAGTGAAAATAAGTTATTACAATTGCGATTAAAAAGCTAATTTGTTGATTCGGTTCCTACCTATCATCAATTATTATAACTTCACTGCCCTAAGTGGATTTTATCCATGTTCAATCACAATATTAATCAACAAGTGCGGATGAAATTATAAGAATTGTATTTCCTGTTTGTCGAATTAAGCACTCGTTTAAGAATAAAGCGAATTAACGGATTAAGCAAACAGTAACATGCAATCGAAATTATGGAAACATAAATCAATTGAACCAACAAACTACTATGTGATAATCAGATTAGGCAAATGATAAACACATAGAAGAATTGAATGGAATAGAATTTAAATTGCAAAGATATGTTAATCTCAAGTATCGAAACTTGAGTACAACAGATCAACAAAGAAAATTAGTTCTCCATGATTTTTCGTACAAAGCTTTAGAGAAATTTCGTGAACAGTAGAATGAGAGATAACGAACAGTAGTAGTGGCTAGTATGTATAGGAAAAACATAGCATTCGGATTCTAACCCAACTGGGTCGAAAAACATTAAAAAAATGGCCCAAAACTAAATATTTCTTAAGTCTGTAGCTTCTACAAATTATTTGAGACTTTTGGACTCCGAATCAGATCTTGGCTTCAATACTAAACTTGTAGCTCTTTCTTTTAGCTTTCCAACTGATATTAGAACACGTCAAACCGATTGTTGTTGCTTAAGTTATGATATGCGCAGTGAACAAGTATCAAATAACTACTAATGTTGAAAACAAAACACGAATTTAAATTAAAGGCAAAAATAAACTTAAATCTAAAAACACAATAAAATAGTAAAATTAATAAAACAAACTAAAGAAATGCCTAAGTACAATAGTAAAAAAATATGCATCAAAATGCATTGATCATGTCTCAATGTTTGTTGGTGTTTGAGATGATCTAGTAGTTACATACGCCTAAGAGCGTTATCCTATGATGTCTGACTGCTTCAAAGGACTGATGGGGAGTTCCCATTAAGAAGTGGGATACGAGCATGCAGGCATGACCCATGGTGGGGGAGTCCAACCCCATGGTTGCTAGGCTGAGTGCTAGTGCTACTGCCAAGGGGGAGAAGATCAGGATGGATGGGCATTGGGAACACCAGGTGGGGTGCCACCACAGTGACCATGCCCCCCTCCACGGTCCTAGTTGCTACGAGAACGGGAATAATTGTCAGGGCGGAGGTTTCCACATTGGGAGTTGTCATCAGAAGACCGATGTTGAGTTGTGTGCACGGTAGTGTGAGAACTATTGCTTGTCATTTCAGTCATACTTACTTCTTCCAAAGTGAGCATGGAGCAGACCTAATAAAAGGAAGGAAGAGGATTACTCTGGCGAATCAAGGTAACAACATTGTGATAAGCTTCTGAAAGATCAGATATTAGTTGAAGAACTAAGTGGTGATTGTTGACAGGAACAACGACATTCCTCAACTGGTCATAGAGCATCTTAAGATGCTGATAGTAAGCAGAAATACTGGGAAGATCCTCATGTGAGTGTTGGAGAACTCTTGCTCGACAGTGACAGCGCGAGCATTCTGATTATCCTAGAAAATATCAACCAAGCCATTCCAGGTCTCTTTCCTCATCGGTTGTTTCTAAAATGGATTTTTATCCCGCTCTTATTGTTTCCTACATTAGAAACAATATTCCCATTGTCATTGAGATGGAAAAAAATATGGCACATGGGTCGAGATTTTCCACAACCATATGCGCTCTCACCAGGTGCTGGATCACATTGTGGTGTCAAGGTTTCTTGGATCCATCAACATTTAGCCCATTGACACTTCCGGCGCTCGCCAGACTCTCCAACAAGTGGTACTAGAGCCTAGTTAGACTCGATGGAAAAACAGAAGTGGGTGCTAGTGTGAATCAAGGCAAGTGATGTGGGTGACACACACTTGTGGGGGAGATTGTTTGGATTCAAGTGTGAGAGGTTAAGTCCCACATCGACTAGGAATGGAAGAAATGTTAGGTATATAAGAGAAATCATGCATACCTTTAAGCCTTAAGATTTTAGATGAATATGTACTGTCTCTTTCACTTGTGCAGGGATGACACTTTGCAGGGTTTGGGCAGGGTACTATAGTACCCATCGCCAAACCCGCGATTGGAAAAAATCCTCGTACCCATGCCCTTACCCGCTTGGGCATCAATCTTAGCACTTGTACCCATGTCATATAGGTATGTAGGTACACATACCCGTACCTGTTACCCGCATTTCTATTAAAAGTAAATAGAAAATATCACATCTTTTAAAGTTTTTAAGAATATTAAAATGTCTTTAAAAGAAATTATTGTTGAATTATAAAATAAACAAACACTTATATTTAATACGTAATGGTTTAATATTGATGTATTTTTTAAAATTAATAAACATGTATTTTTTCATAATAATATAAATTAAAATATATGAATATATATTGCGCGAATATGGGATGGTGTGGGGTGGGTACTAAGGTTCCCATACCTGCACCCATATCCACTTATTTTAGTGGATAATTACCCGAGTCCATACTCGTATCCATTTTTGCAGAGTTTTACCTTACTCGTTATGGTTTTTTTTTGCAGGTGCCCACTGTAAAAGGGTCAAATTGCCATCCCTACACTTGTGTGTTGCTCTTAACCCATCGTAAATGCTCCTTGTGATGATCCAAATAAGAAACTAATTATAGTAAACTAATTATGACAAAATATTCTAATTATAGAAAACTAATTATTACAAATTAAAACAAAATATTCTATTCTATTGATAAAGATTATGATTGACAATTTCTTTATCATTGTCAAAACATATTTTTTAAATATTTTTCTCAAATTGTGTATGAATCATACTATAAAATTGAATAAACAAAGGTAATACTTCTAATTTATTATTCATCAAAAAAATGCAAATTATTCAAGAACAATCATCAATAAAAATAAATAAATCATCTCGCACCAAAAATATTAGATATTGGGGTAGTTCCAAAACATCGCAATGAATAAAGTTCACATTGTTAACACTTTTATTAAGACTCAAAGAAAAAGTAGTTCAATTATATTTAAAAAAATCGACAAATGTCATATTTAAAATACTCAACGAAATGTTTTGAAAATATAAATGAAAAATACGTTTCATTAATGAAAAAGGAGGATGACCAAAACACTTATACTGAAGTTATATTTAAGAGGCAAAAGATAACTATAACTGAGATTGAAGTACATACGACAACATCTTCTGATTAGTTCATGCATGAAAGAGATAGTATAATCCTTTGTGTTCCTTAGTAACTAATTCGTTTTTCCTGTTGCAAGATCCTGAAAAGTACAGTGAGAATAAAAAATATAACTGCTCAATTATTACTCAATGTAAGTTTACGAATAAATATAAAGTTGTTTGATAGGCTGAGAACGTAAATCACATCTTTCAATTTAAAAGATTGAATATCAATATCTCTACAACCATCAATCTCCGAGTATGAGAACTATCTATAATAATATATGAAAAGTTGGATGAATTCGAAACGGTAACAGTTCACTTATTCACTTAAAAAAAAGCGAAATTCGGATCATTAGACTCTTGGAAAAGAAAGCAAGCCAAACTATGAAGCAAGGAGACAGTCTTTTCCATACTTATGCTGTCCAGAAAATGACAACTAAGGTTGTCTGCAGGTGTAAGCTAGTTATGTCAACGCAGAAACATTCAAAATTTGATAAACTCAAGTAACCAAGTTGCATGTAGTGATGCACCATTAACTATATTTGCTTATTGCCATGGTGTAAAAAAATCTTTCACATCTAAATTTCTATATTTCCATATAATATAATCTCATTAGTCTCCCATGGCAAAGCCGATTCAACTCTTACTAAATTTGCATAACTTTTATATTAATGTGATTGTTGACTTTACATATTCTTAATCCAATTGGTTCATTATTTTATACTTCTGTTCAAATGTAAGAATCAGCATCGTTGTTTTCTAGTTGTGATTCTCAATTGGGTAAATAAAAGATCTTTTGATTATGTTGACTTTTTTTCCATTGATGTAATGGATTTAAATGAGGATTGTAATCTTTCTGTTCAGCATTGTAAAGTTTTGTTATGAGTAGCCAAGTTTTGTGGCATCTTTTAGGTTGATCATGGGTGAAAGAGTTCTAGTGTTCCTACTCTTCCTTTTCTGTTATTTCTTTGTTGTTGTGGTAACAAAAACATCAAATGATGATTGTAAGTTTTTTTCTCAAGGCTATGCTCTATGTTTAGTGTTTTTCGAATCATTCATCTGCGAAATTCAGTCTATAACATCATGAAATTAGAAATATTCGACTCGTTTTTTGTTGAGAAAGATTTGAGTACTTGTTAACGATCACATTTCAGATAATGGCCTTGAAGTATTTACTCTTATCCTTATTGATAAGTGATTGAAATTTGGCTTTGATTGCAGACCTTGCACTTTCGGCTATAAAGTATGAGTGGAAGAATACGCCACCGAGTTGGGAGCGCTCGCAGGATCCTTGTGGTGGACGTTGGGAGGGCATTGAGTGTTTCAATTCGCGCGTTATCAGCATGTACTTTTTTCTTAAATTCTTACATGAATTCAACCGTTCTCCTGAATTGTCTTATCCGAGATTAACAAATGGTTGTTAGTGTTTCAGATCATTGTCAAGCATGGATTTGTCTGGCCAGCTTTCATCAGAAATTGGATCACTTTCTGAATTGCAGATTTTGTATGTGTTCTACTTTCTTAGTATATGATTTGAATGTTGGAAACAATTTTTCATGGTTTTTCCTTTGCAGGGTTCTGTCCTACAACAAGAATTTAACAGGACCGCTTCCCGCTGAAATCGGAAACTTGAAAAAACTGAAAAATTTGTAAGGGAGTATCGCATGTTGTTCCGATTAGAATCCATACACTTGAATCAACAACTCTAACTATGCTCTCTTTTTCCTCTTCCAGACAGCTTATTAACTGCGGCTTCAGCGGTCCTATCCCAGATACAATAGGAAATCTACAACAGCTTGTATTCCTGTATGTATTGAATCTTGATTCGAACAATCTTTGACTAGAATTTACTTAACTCTCGTCCGAACTCCGGATTACCAGAGTCCCTTCCCTTGGAAACCGAAGGGTTAAGACTCAAAATATATAATCACATTTGAAGTTTTTGTAGTTATGTTGATCTTTATATTTTGAGTACAATATTTCCATATCTTGTTTTTGCAGTCTTATATTATATTATGCTACTGATAACAAAGCCAATTTCAATGGCAGATCTTTGAATTCTAATAGATTTAGTGGAACAATTCCAGCTTCTATTGGTAATCTCTTGAGTATTAATTGGCTAGACTTAGCAGAAAACCAGCTTCAGGGTCCTATCCCAATATCTAGTGGAACTACTCCCGGTCTCGATATGCTGCACAAAACAAAACACTTGTATGCGACATTGTTCTATTATTCTTCTTTTTTTTTTAATAATATTTACAATTTTCTTCATATCTATCAAACTCATTGTAACATATTTCCGTTTTCCACAGTCATTTTGGGAAGAATAAGCTTTCGGGGACTATTCCAGCTCAACTTTTTAGTTCTGAAATGTCATTGATACATGTGTAAGATTCATCCCAATGATTTTCATCTAGAATTTGTTTACATTATTGAACAAATTTGAGTATAATTTTTCCTAACCAGTAATATATCTTTTGCAGGCTTTTCGAAAGCAACAAATTTACTGGCAGCATTCCATCTACACTTGGACTTGTGCAGACACTTGAAGTTGTGTGAGTGTCTGTATTTCCTATTTTAAACTAATAACTAAAATTCATGTTTTTATTTTGTCTTGAAATGTGATTTTGCATCTGTAGGCGCTTGGATAACAATTCGTTAAGTGGACCTGTGCCTCAAAACATCAACAATCTTACAAACGTTAGAGAATTGTAAGTACAAAAGACACGTGTTTTGTCGAAAGAATGTCATTACTCCTTCTTTCCATCATGTGTAATGATAGTATCCATCGCGATGAATTCCAAATATGTTAATAGAGGTTCTTGAAATTATGTCTGTCAGGTTCCTGTCCTCGAATCACCTATCCGGTTCCCTGCCAAACCTCTCTGGAATGAACGTCCTCAGTTACCTGTAATTAGCAAATCCTTAATCAAACATAATTTTATATTTTCTGCATAACCTTTTGTTATGGCTGAGTTGGTTATTTAAATTACTTCGAAGGGATATGAGCTATAACCAATTCGATCAATCAGATTTTCCATCATGGCTATCAAATCTTCAGTCTCTAACAACAATGTATGTTTTTCTTTCTATACTTTTTAAGCTATAACTTTTTGCTCTCTGTCAGGATTCAACGGATAAATTCTCATGATTTTTTTTATTTTTTATTTTACGACAGAATGATGGAGAAAACACAACTTCAAGGACCTGTTCCTGTTTCTTTGTTCAGCCTGGTACAGTTACAGACAGTGTAAGTACCAGCTGTATTGATTTTGACAGTTCTACCTTAAGATGATGATTAATGCTGAAAAATCTTACAGGGTTCTCAAAGTTTAAACACCGTTTTAAGTATTTGTTCCTGTTCCATACTTTGCCGCATAAGCTAAGTTTGTTACTGACTCATAGGATGCTGAAAAACAACCAGCTGAATGGAACTTTAGATATTGGCACGACCATTAGTGACCAACTGGGAGTCATTGATTTGCAGACCAATTTTATTGAAAAATTTGCTCCACAAATCGATGTTTCTAAAGTGGAGATAACGTAAGTCATAATTATAGCAGTTAGTTTATTTCAATGTGCGATGCATAAATTTCAATTTTTCCATCTTGTCTTTGTTTCTTCTCTTTTAAGGTATACTATTGAATACATATTTATCTGCAGACTTGTAGAAAATCCTTATTGCGATGAAGGACTCCCAGCAGCGAAACAAACCTACTGCTCCATTGCAAAAAACAACGACTCATATACAACGCCGCTAAATAACTGTGTGCCAGTTGCCTGCGACTCGAATCAGATATTAAGCCCGAATTGCAAATGTGCATACCCTTATACAGGAACTTTAACTCTTAGAGCTCCTTCTTTCTCTGACTTGGGAAACAAGACAGTGTTTGATATGCTAGGTTTCACTCTTATGGAGTCTTTTAGAAATCATGACAAACCTGTGGATTCAGTTTCTTTAAGCAATCCAAGGAAGAATGTGTATCAGTATCTTGATTTGAGTTTAGAAATATTTCCATCGGACCAAAATTCTTTCAATAGAACCGGTATTTCCGGCATAGGCTTTATGCTTAGCAACCAAACATACAAGCCCCGTGCTGACATTTTTGGACCATTTTATTTCATTGCTGATGAGTATGATCATTATCTGAATGATTCAGGTATGTATGTATATATCTAGCTCTGCATTTAGTAATGAAATCAGTTATGTTATTACCGAGTTCTTCATTTTAACACTGTATTTTCTTGTAATTTAGTAATAGAAGAAGGGCCTGTGAAATCAAGTAAATCCTCGAATATTGGCATCATCGCTGGAGCTGCTATTGGTGGTTGTGTCCTGGTTGTGTTATTACTCCTTGCAGTTGTTTATGGTTTCCGCCAAAAGAACAAGGCAAAAAGAGAAGCTAAGAAAAGCAGTCTTTTTGGTAAGATAACTTTATCAGGCGAATTTTTTAATGAGCGCGCTAGAATTTCATAATTTATTACATATTCCATTTTATAAAATGCAGAACAATGGGGTCCTGATGAGAGCAATAATAGCATCCCACAGTTGAAAGGTGCGAGGCGCTTCAGTTTCGAAGAGATTCAGAACTCCACCAAAAAGTTTTCGCAACTCAACTATGTAGGATCTGGGGGTTATGGGAAGGTATTGAATGTTTTTGCTACAATATTACAAACCGCTATTTTGCAAAACTTTGTACTACCTAAGCTTTTAATATCCAAATTTGCAAAAGTGTCTTGAATCTATAATAATGATGACAGGTTTATAGGGGAACTCTTCTCAATGGACAATTAATTGCCGTAAAACGAGCTCAACAGGAATCAATCCAAGGAGGATTGGAATTCAAAACAGAGATTGAACTTCTATCAAGGGTCCACCATAAAAATCTTGTTAGCCTTATCGGTTTCTGCTTTGAGCAAGGCGAACAAATATTGGTTTATGAGTATGTTGTAAATGGTACTTTGACAGATGCTCTTTCAGGTATATCTTTCATAACAACTTCACCCTATTAGTGCTCTACAAAATTTAATACTCACTAATCACTCGCAGAATTTAAGGGAAACTATTCAATAAAATTCATCTCAATAGTATTTTCTGCGTCATTTTTCCGTTAAACATTTGCTTGCAAATCACCATATAGTATTCAGATATCTTTATGAACATGCTAATCTTCCTATCAATGCAGGGAAGTCAGGAATTAGATTGGACTGGATTAGAAGGCTAAAAATAGCCCTTGGTGCTGCTAGGGGGTTGGATTATCTTCATGAACATGCTAATCCTCCTATCATACATAGAGATGTCAAATCGACGAACATTTTACTCGACGAACGCTTGAATGCTAAAGTTTCTGATTTTGGTCTCTCCAAGCCTTTGGGTGATGGTGCAAAAGGTTATATTACAACTCAAGTCAAAGGGACAATGGTTAGTATATTATGCTTATATAACTAATCTTCTAAACCTTTAAACAATGCCTGAAAAGATCATATCTCGATTAATGAATTAAGCGATAATGGTAAATTTTTGTATTTGATCATATAGGGCTACTTGGATCCAGAATATTACATGACACAGCAATTGACAGAGAAAAGTGATGTTTATAGCTTTGGAGTACTAATGTTGGAGTTGATAACTGCAAGAAGGCCAATAGAACGAGGGAAATACATTGTGAAAGTGGTTAAGAATGCTATTGACAAGACAAAAGAGTTAAACGGTCTTACGGAAATCCTCGATCCTATCATTGATTTTAAGGCATCATTGAACAGTTTTGAAAAATTTATAGATCTTACAATGAAATGTGTTGAAGAGTCAAGTTCAAATAGGCCTTCAATGAACTATGCACTGAAAGAAATTGAAAACATGTTGCTGTTAGCTGGCACAAACCCTAATGCTGAATCAGCATCAACTTCATCTAGTTATAATGCTAGTGGAAACTCTATGCATCCTTATGAAAATGAGTACTTCGATTCAAGTGTGGTACTTCCTCGCGCGTAAAGTATACCTATGTAGGATTTTCTTTTCACTTTTCAATTGAAAAGTAACTTGTTGATGTATTGTATAAAGGGAGGAGTGTTGATCTTCTGTATTATTTTGTTAGCTTAAGATTTATGATGATTGAAGGTGAAGTTTGATGTGGGTTTCTTGTTTACTTTCAAATTTTTTGTTGGATGAATTGTGTAACATACATTACTTTTGAACATAATATTGAAATGGATTCTATTTAAGATGGTTGGTGTGTGTAGGAGCCGACTTTTACTTTCGCCTGTTAATTTATTAGTATCTAGTTAGTTGCGTCAAGAACTAAGATCTTTGCAATTTTTTTTTGTATAATCACTTTTAAAACGGGAAAAAAACTTTGTCGATTAAACATAGCATATACATAATACATTCATATTTCATATGCCTACCTCAAAACATTGGTTTTTCCATCAGAGCTGAAATGTACCATACATTCTTTCTAACAGCGGGATCAAGTTTGACTTCAACATGCCATCGCAGCTTATTGAATCCAACCTGATCGAACATTGGTACGTAAGTTTTGTTGAACTGTGAACCAAAGCAGAAGAAATGGTCAAGCCAGAATAGACCTCCTGGCCTCAACACCCTGTATATATCATACAACAAAAACTCAAGCATGGTGTCTGGCATCCAATTGCCAATGACATCCATAGAGTGCACAATATCCAGCGTGTTTTCGAAGAACGGAAACCTTTGAGAGACGGTAATATACATTGGTATTAAACCTCTTGATGCGACCATGTTGTTGAATGGACCATCCAAATTCAGTGTACTTGTAATGATTGTCGTGTTTCGCTCCTTCATTCTAGCTGCAAATGTTCCTGTTCCACCACCAATGTCAAGTCCAATCCGAATTGTTCCAGCTGCTTTTGTTGCAAGAACTTGGTCAATTCCAAAATCAAGACCACCATCATCAGATATCCACTTAATCTTCTCTTCTTTCTCTAAGTCAAAGCAACCTTTGCAGTCATAAGAACCTGGATCATTCTTTCTATCAACAAGACATCGGTAGCTTTTACAACTATAGGACTCCCAGATAATGCTTGTGTCTGGTGGAATCGTCCAAAGACTACCCGGCAAAGGCGTTGGCTCTACATAGTTTGTAGGAGACTTCGTGTGGCATCTCCGACGAGGTAATGGTTCGCATCCTTTGAGCATGAGTCCTTGCGCATATACATCATCTCCAGGACATTCTCCTCCTATGTCATATGCCATATATTGCTTTAACTCCTCATGGAGCCTTAAACAGGCTTCACCAATAGGCATATGAATTTCACCTGAATCGATCTTTGGTGAGTACCCGAAAGGGAGCTTGTGAGGGCCAAGTGCGACACTAAGCTCGTCAGATATAGTGGAATCATCATTTCTGAGGTTCACAGTCGAAGGATTCTCCTCTACACGATTGGGTTGCTTTTCTTGTTCGCGGGTAAGATCAATAAGCAGAGCCTGAACAAGTAAATTAGTTGAATTGAGTCTCTGATGCAGCTCGGATAAGATTGTGTGGCTTGCAGCTAGTTGAGCTTTGGTGGAGTTGAGTTCCTGCAAGATGGAGTTTGAATCACTTGTACTCATAGAGGAGTACTTATACATGAAACTAAATGGACCAGTGAAAATGTAAATGGTTACAAGGTTGGTAAATATGATAAGCATAAAAGATTTCATCTTTTGCTTTTGTGTTTGAGCATGAGTCTGTTGATTATAAGATGGAAGCTTTTTTGAGTATTGTTGGTCATGAGTTTCATTTCCCATGTCTCTCTTCTTTCTCAATGGCTTAAGAGAAAGAAATAAAGAAGAGGTAGACTAAAATGTACAAAAATGTTAGTGCAATTTAAGGTTGCTATAGTAAGGAAACTTTTCAGATGTGTAGATCCAATAAAATTTAAAATAATTCCACGTTCTATTCTATGCATTTTTCATAATAAGCAATGCACGTTGGTCATTGTGAAGCGCCGGTGTGGGCGTTGAAGAAACGTAATGCCTTATAATTTGGCTATATATTAAATTACATACTGTAGCACTTGCATATTACAAATTCCTTTCATTTATGACTGGCTTCTACTATAACAAAAGTGAAAGGATAAAGAGATTATTTACTAGATAAACATAGTTTAATATAATTACATCCATTATTGCTTATACCTTAAATGAGAAGCAAAAAAATGAAAAATATTTTTTCCCCAAGAGAAGATGTAATTTTAATTCTGGGAGGCTGAGGGTGTTCTCTGAAGGAATCCTTTAGCCATAAGGCTTTCGGCGGCTTCTGTAATAGCATCTTGAATGTGTGTGAAGACTAAGCCCAAGTCTATTAGCCTCTTGGCTGCATCTTTACATGGTGTCAAACCAGGTTGAGTTTCATCCGGGAAACTGCATCAAATTCTTGTTCAGAGAAAACAAGAAGAAAACATAACATGGCATGGGAATGAAGAATGAAGAATGAAATGAAACATCATAATAACTAACCTGTGAATAGGAAAATGAGGGTACAATTGAGAGACAATTTTAGCAAAACTAGAAAACTGATAGATACCATTAGTACAAAGATATCTACCAGCAGCAGTTGGAGTTTCATACACCAAAACATGAGCTCTAGCAACATCTTTAACATGAACAGCACCTAACCAATAACACTCCTGTGTATCCTTGAACCCCAGCATCAACCTCTGCAACACAGCAGAACTCGCATTCATCTCCTTCTGAAGCAACGGCCCCAAACATGTCCCCGGATGAATTGCCACCACGTCGATACCGTGCTTCTTCTGAAACTCCCACGCGGCTTTCTCCGCCTTTGTTTTCGATACTGGATACCACTTCCCTCTCGACGAACAGTACTCGACGTCCGTCCAGGAAGATTCGTCGATCGGTTTGTTTTCCGGCCAGTTAGGGTTTGGTATCAGGGCTGAAATGGAGGAGGTGAGTACCACGCGCTTTACCCCCGCGCGTTTTGATGCTTCTAGGACGTTTAGAGTTCCGTGTAGAGCGGGTTCTAGAAGTTCCTTTTGTGGATCGGTTGGGTCTTCGAGTGTGCAGGGGGATGCGACGTGGAAGACGCCGGAGCAGTTTTGGATGGCGGTTGAGACGGCGGTGGAGTCGAGGATGTTGACGGGGAAGATGGTGATGCGGGATTGCGCTTCGGGATGGAGTGTGAAGAGATGCGAAGGGTCGGAACCAGGGAAGATTGTGGCGTGGATTGTGTAGTGTGGGTTTTGTTTGTGTAATAAGGTTTGAACTAGCCATGAACCGATGAAACCGTTTGCTCCGGTCACGCATACCACCTCTTGTCTGGTTTGGTTAGCCATGTTTCTGTGATCTATCTCTGCATCTAGCTCACAATCATTGGAGTGGAGTAATACATGTACAGTTACGGTACTTTCGGTTCGATGTCTTTATCAGAAAATATTATTTTGATGTGTTTTTAGTTTAATTTTTTTTTTCTTTCACTTATCCAGTTCATATTAAAAAAACTTTAGATAAGACAGTTGCTAGTGGTATTTAAGTTGAAATCTTAATGATCGGACAAACCTCCTGTCCAAATACTCTTTATGTTATTCCCAATTTCTATTAATATATGAACTAAAATGTGTAACTAATTTTTATGATAATTTATAAAATTAAATTTACTAATAAATTGAGATAAAATGGGTTCTATTTTATTCTGTCATTTATTATATTTTATCAATTTGAACACACTTTTAAAATATTTGGATGAAAATTTTTAATAAAAAAACAATAATTTTTTGAACATTTGATCAAAAATTTTATGTTAAATAATGAAATATTATAAAGTATTTTTCATTGACCAATTCAAAAAAATTTACAATTTCACCTCACCAGCATCTTCTAAACATAGGCATAAGAGCATAAAAATATAACAAAATAAAGACATAAAAATTTATGTTGGTGGACACTAAGATGTCTTTATATTTAGTTGGGTATTAGTATCTTTATTTAATTAAATAAATAATATTTAATATTATATTTTATTTTTTTATTTATTTTTTAATAATATAAAAATTTAAACTAATTTATACTAAAAGTATCGATATTCAACTAAAACTTATAGTTATTTGAGAATTTATCTAATAGAAATTATCAAATATCGACTCATTTAACAATTCATCTCTTAAAATTTATAGTCGTATTACACTATATTGGCTACGCAACCAACCTGTTGCGGTGAGAATCGAATATCAAGCTATTGGATTAACTTGAATCACAAATCATGAAGTTCACCGTCGAACTTTGATTTATCCAAAAGAAATGGTAAAGATCGAAGAAAACTCTAAGTGCACTATGTAACAACACAACTAAGAGATCTAAGGTTTATGGGTTGGTTATACCTAGGGAAGGTGTTAGTATCCTAAGTATTTGTAGTACTCTACAAGAACCTCTTGTTAGTATTTGTGTTATGCTAAAATTGTTTGCTAAAGGTAAGGATGGGTAAGAAATATAAAGGGTGGAAAAAGAAAAAGGTAGAAAAATAAAAAAGTAGCTCGCTAGGATCTCACAATCATATGCTTACATATCCATATGCACTAGTGTACCTGTATAGATCTGAATTTTTGTACAAGTCAGTAAAATCAACACCCAAATTAAATTCTTATGTTGTAGTTGTAACTTCCAACATCCATGTTGCTGGATTATATCCGTCTTTGATCTTACTCACCCCTTCAATACTCTGGGCAAAGAAACTTATTTGAAAACGTTAGTAACTAATTACGATCAAGAAACGAAGACATTCACTTGAGTAAATTTTATAGTAAAGTGGGATCCTACCTCGAAATACTTGACCAAATGAACAGAATGATGACCAAGTGGTCCAACGTATATTTCTTGCCCTCCACACTTCATAAGGAATAACTAGAATTGCATATGAATAATATGTCAGATTCAAGTATAATAGAGAGGAAAACAACTATAAAAGGTAACTTCATTTGTCATTAGTATTTATTTGTTATCACTGTTCACTACATACCTCATCAAATGCTTCAAATATGTCAATACTAGGCTGATGGATGGTACACACGACTGTTCTTCTTGTGTCCACTGTGTTCCTTACAGTTCTCATAACAATTGCAGCAGCTCTAACATCTAAACCAGAAGTAGGTTCATCCATGAAAATTATAGATGGATTAGCCACTAGTTCGACTACAATAGTAAGTCTTTTGCACTGTTCAGTTGAGAGACCACTCACGCCAGGCAAACCAACCAGGGAGTTCCTCAACGGGTTTAGCTCCACGAGGTCCATGACTTCATCAATAAACATCTGCAATCATTTGTAATGTCCTTAAAGTCATAACAATCAACCTCAAATAGATTAGGAGAAATGAAACCTAAAATGGCATAATTCGTATTAACTGACCTTTCTGGTTTTGGAATCAACTCCAGAAGGTAAACGAAGCCATGCTGAGTAAAGCAGGGACTCATAAATTGTTACATGAGGTGAATGGATATCGTTCTGCTCACAGTAGCCAGAGATACAAGCAAATGTTTCCTGCTTTTTCGGGTAACCAGAAACCTTGATGTCCCCATCAATATGTCCACCTGTTTTCCTACCAGCCAGAACATCCATCAGAGTTGTCTTTCTGTCTCCACTTACACCCATCAAAGCTGTGAGAACACCAGGCCTGAATGCGCCACTAACACCCTTCAAAAGTGCTAATATGTCCTATATAACACCTTGTTCCTTCATTTCCTGTCAGATGAAATTGGAGTTAAGTTAGAAAAATTCTTTTGGTCTCACTAAACATAAGTCTAGTTAAATATATAAATGTCGAATATATCACTTTGTGTGAATCTTACCGCTGGCATATCAACAGAGTATACAATGTCATCAAAAGTGATAGAATGTGGTTCAAATGGAAGAACCATGCCTTTCTTCTTTCCATGGCTGGACTCTGTAACAGAATCTCCTCTTCCTGAACTTTCTGAAAGACAATAGAAAAAATATTCAGGAACTAAACTATATGATAGACTAACATATGTTTGTTTCATAAGGGATATGCATATAATCAAGAAAGGTCACCTCTGTGTGGTAATTCAACTTCTTGTACGGTCCTATCATTAGAAGAATCATCTTCTGAATCATCAGGTATTGTTGCCTAAGGCTTATCAAATGGGCCTAGTACAGTGAGAGTCACACCAAACATCAAGTTGAAAAGGAACACAAATCCACCCAATCCCGCGATGGTATCAATCAAAAGGCAATCAAAAACTCATGACAAAATCAAATTAAAACTAAAGGGTAAATATTGAAGACAAGTCCATATCCTTCCAAAACAAGTTCCAAACAACATTGAAGCAGGATAATCTGAAAAAGGAAAATCTCACCAACAACGTTTTGACTCGTCTTGAATCGCAGAATATTACCAAACATTTTTTCGTTAATTGTGAAAACAATTCTAATGGACATGGGAGATTCGGAACCGAAACAGGAGCAATCCAACTTCCTACAGGACAAACAACCATTATAGCAGGACCTTTAGAAGGATTTAATTTGAATACTTGCTTTGAGGATTAGGAGATAATCGTGTAAGGACAGCTTCAGGCTCTCTTCCAAAACCTGCGGCAGGGGAAAGATTTTCGGTCTCAACTTTTCGAACTAAGTCAAAGAAGAACAGATAATACGAAAGCGATTACAACATTGCGTACCTGTCAAAGACACCCAGTTTTCATCCATGTGTCAATTGAGGTTTGTCGTAGTTTTACACCAGCCATGACTAACCTTTTTGCATATTTATTAATCAACTCCCACTCATCTGTGTTGTAACAAATGCTGCAAATTATTGTACCAGGTAACAGGTAAGAAGCATATACAAAAGAGAAAGAAAACAACATAAAAAGAAATGTGGGGATCATAATTTATGTTTAGTGTTAGACAATACAAAAATAAACCTTTAGATGCATAAAAGGATCATAATTTAAGGTTTCAGCTTCGAAAATTAGTTATTTTGGTACCAAATACTATATGTTATATTACAACGCATCTAAGCATTTTGCAAACTCCAAAAACCAAGCAAACTAATTGTATTGCAGATTTGAGGCCTTACAAACAAAGAGGCATCAAGTTGCCTTCATACAATCAAACAGTTTTGGGGGACTAACAATAAAGCAGGATTTGAAATGCATGCATCCCAGCCAGCAACAAAGGGAACAACAATTATATCAATTACATATTGTGCAATTTTTTAAGAGATAAATGTCATGTTCAAATTTTAAAAAGTACTTTTCTACAAAAGACTTTGTATTATGAAACAAAATATTGAAAAAGATAAATTGATAAATTACCTGAAAACTATATTTGTCGTGCCCGGTTGCAATGGTAAATCATTCCTCTTCAAACGTCTCATTACTTCCTCCAACAGTTTAATATCATTGTTGTTCTTAGCAAACAACTGCAATAAATTGACAGTAGCTTACCAATTGCAAACAGAAGATAGAATCAAAGAAATCAGGACATTTGTACGTCTAAGTATACCAGTAAATGGTGTGCAGAAGCAACACTCGGTGCCAATCCATAGACATTATGCTTCCACAAAGCCTTCTTTCCTGCTCGCACATTTAAGCCAGATAACCTCAAAATTTCATTTCATATCTTCAAATTTGACAAATGAAACAACACATATTTATATCAGACAAAGTGGACGTGCAAATAAAGCATACCAAAATCAAGAGCTCCGGCATGAACACAAGCTTTAGTGACTTCACGGCAGAGATTGCAGTTAAAATTGTCATGTATGCGAAGGTTTGACAACCTCTGCTCACCAAATAGATTAAATTCATCACCATATCAAAGAGAGCAAATCAATAAACCATTAATTGAAAATAAAGAGGTGAGAGGGGAAGAGAATAGAAACTAACAAATCTGCGGAGGTTCTGCATAATGTCAAAGAGAAGACTAATATCATGATGGTGTTTGCAATTAGCAACCATTGACCACAACCAAGCATTTGGAGGCATGGATCTTTTAACATTTACAGACTGAAGCATTTTATCATAAAGATCCTTCACAACTTCTACATTTAAAATTCAACAATACAAATCAGTAAACATCACAAAAATGAATATCGAAAAGGGAATTTCCAGTTCACAATTGAATGAGGAACCTGTTGGAGTCCCTTCTACATTATCAGCTCCAGAACTGTAAAAAGCCTTTGACGCGAAGAAATCCAATGGTTCAGACTTCACTTGCTGGTAATTACATTGTATGAGCCCTGAGAGAATCGGTTCTTCGGTGCTTCGAAGATGAGACGAAAGGAAAATCGGAGATTGCAAGAGCCGAGAGACTCGGCGAGCATTT